GAGCAGGGGGAGTGATAGAGGGAAAGGGAGAAGCAGGCTTCCTGCCGAGCAGGGAGCCCGACGTGGGACTTGATCCCAGGACTCTGGGATCATGACCAGAGCCGAAGGCAGATGCTCAACTAACTGAGCCACCGAGGCATCCCTAAAAAAATTTTTAAATGAGAAAAACACTGAAGTTTAAAACATGACATTGTGATTTAAATCAGAATTCTATTCCTCCCATCTGATATGATTTAGATCAGAATTGTTTTTAATTTTTGCATAAAAATATTTGGATGATATGTATGCTAGAACAGAGGTCAGACAGCCTTTGGCAAGTGATATGCCAAAAATGATGTGTGGTGGAGTGGGCAGTTATGATCCTACCATGGACATTTTCTCTGCTGCCCACTGTTTTCCAGATCAGAAGAGAGGATAAGAGGAGGATGGGTTAACAATTTCTGTGCGGAGGAAATTAAGGCTGTTGTCTCCCTTGCCAAGGTAAATTTCTGTAGGTAAGAAAAGTAAAATACATGTTAAGGCTACTGGCCTGTTTGTAAGAAGACAGTAGGAGCCTCGTTCAGTTGCGGTAAACTTGGCCAAACAAACAAAATTGTCCATTTGCTAAAGTAATGCAGGGAAATACGTAAATATTTACATTATATGTAAATATAAATATAGTTGTTTTCCAGTAACTTCTTAGTTCAATAACAATAATGCTAATATTAAGAGTTTACTTTTTTTTTTGTGACAAAGATAGTAAGCGACATAGCATTAAACAGTTTTGGAAGCGACATAGCATTAAACAGTTTTCCAGCAGTGCTAATGGATATATTCTGCTTTATACGTCATCTTGCTTTCCTTGTGGTTAGCAATGTTTGTGAGATTGGACCTAGGTTACAGATATTGGTGGCTGTCGAATGTAATTTCAAGCTACCTGACTCCTATTGCAATAGAATCCAGGTCCTTGTTCTCGTTATCACAATTCTCTAACAAACACAGCAAGCTTTCCTTGGGTAAGTATAAACGAAGTCAACAAATATTTACGTTACAGTCATAAGTTCTTCCCAGCCTCCAAAATCAACTGACAGTCTGTTTCAAGGAACCTAATAGAAAGATAGAATTCATAAAGGATGGTCCTGTAGGATCATTTAGGTAGCAAACATGAGCTGTGAAGTTTTCAAGGACAGCTGTAAAGTTACTCGGCAGATCATGTGCTAGGGTTAAAGTTGACTCTGGTATTTGTTTCACTGCTTTTTAATAAATAAATAGTTGAGGAAAGATTTGGCAAAAGGAAGAACGCCCCTCCTTGTCCTCATTCTCTCAGGACAGCGGCTCCTGTTAACAAGTTATTTGAATGTTTACTTTGCCTTGACCACTTAACCAGTGATGTGTCAGTCCTTGCCCTTGAACCAAGTGAGAATTCAAATAAACCAAAAAAAGTTTTCACATAGCTGGCCTCTTCTGCCAGTGAGTGGTACCAAAATATCCTCTCCCACTTTTTAAAAGAGGTCAGCAAGAAAAAACTTAAAAGGCAGTCCATGATCTGATGATCTGTGATCTAGATAAACTTGAGTTGGCAACTCAGATTTTGGAGTGCATGGCATAGAGAAGGGAACAGATCCTGGGAGACATTCTTTGATTGATTAGAAGCCATATTTAAGGTGCCTTGCTTTGTATTTCTACCCAGTTTTATCAGTGGTTAGAATTAACCTTTGCATAAGTGAATATGCACATAGAATTCCCATTTCTAAAATGTCATTCATCTAGCTCTTTCGTTACATTTTGTTGTATTCCATAGTCGTAGGAATTCTGTGGCCAGCCCTGGCCAAGTAGGAATGTGGGGGAGAATTTGCAGACCTAATAACCACTCTTTGGATCCCTAGCCTAGCAGGGTGCCTGGTGTATAGTAGGCACTTATTATATTCTTGCTGATTTTAAAAATTATGTATCTGAGTGAATAAATGAATGAAGGAATACAAAATATAGCTAGACTATGCCGAATTCATGTGAGATGACAGGTCTCATTGAATACTACTCTTTAAGGTACTTCTGGAAATTATATTAAGGTATTCCTTTCATTTTGAAAAATGTCTCTTCAGTGCCTATTTTTGGCTAGGTATTAGAATTTCCCATGTTAGATGTGAGATCGTTCTTGCCTTCAAGGAGGACATAGTTATGTAACCAGATACATTGCAGAACAGAGTGATGAGTGCAGTGGTAGATGTGTGTCCAAGGGGTGGAGAAAGCATAGAGGAGGAATGAACCATATCTGGAGGGTGGCATGGACAGTGTTAATTGTAGTAATTTTATTTATCGTGTTTGTCGTCCATTCCTACTAGAATAGAAGGGGTACGTTTTTGCCTGGGTCACTTATTCCTATTTATATATTTTTAAATTGTTCTCTCCCCAGCTTCTTGAATAGTACCTGGCATGTAATAAGCTTTCCGTAAGCATTTGTCGCACGAATGAATGATTTTTGATAGATAATGCAAAATCCCTCCAAAAAGAATTTACCGATTATATTTCCACCAACAGTAGATGATAGTGATTTCTACCCACATCCTTTATCAGTGCTGGGTTTTGTGAAACTTTTTTTAAGCTTTAGCTAAATGTGCTGTGCTGTCTCTACATTAAAGAAACACAAAAAGGATCCTTCCCTTGACTGCCGTGTGTCTCCAGCAACTCTCCCTATTTTTCTGCTGCCCTTTTGTAGCAAAGCCCTAGAAGGAATTTTCTGTGCTTTCTTCATTTCCTCCCTTCCCATTCTGTCCTGAACCCACCATCAGATGCTAGTCCCCCCTCCATCAAAAGCACTCTTGTGCTTTATCTCGCCTTCACGATGGTGTCTCGCCTTACTCTGTTTCTCAGCAGTGTTTGCAGTAGTTGCTCACGCTTTCCTCCTAGAAATGTTTCTTCTGTTTTTCTCCCTGGACACAACATTCTCCTGGATTTCTTCCTATTTCACTGGCTACTTATTCTTTTTTTTTTTTTTTTTAAGATTTTATTTATTTTTATTTGACACAGAGACAGAGAGCACAAGCACAAGCAGGGGCAGAGGCAGGCAGAGGGAGAGGGAGAAACAGACTCCCCGCCGAGCAGGGAGCCTGATGCGGGACTTGATCCCAGGACCCCGGGATCATGACCTGAGTCGAAGGCAGCCGCTTAACCGACTGAGCCACCCAGGCGCCCCCTGGCTACTTATTCTTTGTCTACCTCGCTGCTTCCTTCTCTATTTGGTCTCTAAAGGTTGATGTATCCCAAGGCTCCTGCCTGGTCTCTCCTTTCCTCTGTCGTACTTCCCTTAGAGCTCATCTAGTGCTGGGGCTTTAATAGGTCTGACGTCTATACTTCTGACATCTGTATTTCCAGCTCTGACTTCTCCACACAGCTCCAGATCCCTATATGCAGCTGTTGATTTGACAGTAGTACTCGGATGCCACATGGGTATCTCAGACTTACCTTCCCAAAACAGAACGGCTGACTAAACCCTTCAATCCATCTCCCCCTTGCTGGTCTTCTCCATTTCAGTAAACAGAGTTATTATGGATTCCGTTACACCTAAAACTAAGAGTTATCCTTGACACATCTTTGGATCATACTCTAGCCAAGTCTTCAGCAAATTCTGTTGGTTCTACCTTTAGAATATATTCTGAGTCCAGTTACTCTTTACCACCTCCACAGTTGACTCACTGGTCTGACCCTTCATGTGCTCATCTCTCTCCTGAGTGATTACATTACCTCCTACTTGGTCTCCCTCTTACCTTTCTGCCACCGTTCCCGTCTAGTCTCACGCCAGTGGTCTTTGGGTCTACAAAAAGCGCTGAAATAGTGTCTGGCACATACTAAGCACTAAGTAAATGTTATTATTTTGTTGTTTTGGTTACTGTTTCTATTTTAGGGCAGTGAAGGGGGGTGCATTTTGGTGGTGTTGAGTTTTAGATGCTTGTAAAATGTACAAACAAATGCACTAAAGGCAGTTGAATCAAGTATTCATGTAAAGTGATTGATTCTGTAAAATAGGAGTTACTATCTTAGTGCCTTGGAAGGATGAGCAAAACTTTCAACATTAACTTAGTGTCTAGAGATTAGTTTGTGAATTGGGGAGATATGGATCATCAAGTGCCTTGTATTTGCCACACTCTACAGAGATTTCAAAATAGATGGTAGCCATTGTGTTCACAACTGGGACTATTGAGATACGAGATTTCCGCTGTTTTGGGGGTTTAGATGATCTTTCTTTCTTTTTCTGGTTGTCTTTTAGTGAGACAAAGCCCAGAAGTCTGTCCTGCCTGCCTCTGTAATCTGGCGCTATGCATCCAGCTCCTTGGCCCTTACAGACACTGCTGTATGTTGTTGCTCTTACGATTCTGTGTCCTTCTGTGAATTCAGGTAAGAGCTGAAGAATGGTTGTGGTTTTTGCTTTTTTTTAAGTTTAAAATTTTAATTCCAGTAACATACAGTGCTATATTAATTTCAGGAGTATAATACAGCGAGTCAGCCGTTCTATACATGACTCCGTGCTCGGCACCATAAGTGTGCTCTTTAATCCTCAAGAATGGTCATGTCTACACTCAAGCTTTTCCTCTTCTTAATCCTATAAAAAAACAAATTTCAGCTTTAAATCCTCACTGATAATCATGGTTTCCAAAGACATTTCTAAGATTTGTTTGACCCAGCCGAATGATTTAAAAACTGATTCATTCAGCAATTTCAGGATCTCTTGGTAGTGCTTTTGGGCATTGGCAGGCCTTCCTAACATTGTCCTTATAATTTATTCCTCTTGTTGCCTTAAAAACAAGTATCGTCCTATCATGTTCTTTTCAGTAAGAGGATATGTTACAAAAGTCTGAATTTGGAAATTATAACAGGAGTAAAATGCTGACTCCATACCACTGAAGAAATTTTAGAATCAGCATGTATTAGTACTCAGCTTGGAGAGAACTTGGTTCAAATCCCAAATCTGCCACTTTCTCACATGACCTTGTCTGAGTTTTTCTCTACCTCTGTTACTGACAAGCTTAAAAGCATTGATTGTTAGATGTGTATATAAGCCCGCACCCAGTGCACGGCCCACGTGTGTTTCTTTTAATTTTAGATTCGTGTACAGATTCCTATAGAAGTAATATAGAAATACAAGTGATGTTTATTCATTAAGTAATATTTATTATTTCTGTTAAGAATACTGTATAACTTTTTGTAAGCCAAAAAGCTGATCGGCTGGTTTTATTTCTGTTTTTGTTTTGCTGAACAACTACCTCAGGTTTTAGTCAAGAGAGGCACGTCCCTCATATTTCTGACGAAATACCCTGTGAAAGTAGGGTTAGCAATCTATTGAATTTTTTTTTCTTTGAAGTAGTTTATTCCCTCAGATTAACAGTATTCTTGTCCCCCCCCCCACCCTTTTGGGTGGAGGAGGGCGATCTGTTTTGATCCGTCAGTGCGAGAACCCACCCTGCCCCCCAAGTTGCTGAGGAAATGATGTCACAAATGAAACCACTCTAAACACCAAATAAAATTTAAAATTGACACTCTACATGCAAAAAAGGATAGACTTTGTATTTCAGCATGACTGAACATTGTTTTATATTTAAGGGAAGTAGTAAGACTGTAGCCATTATTTATAGAATAACTTAGTCTTAAATCCTTGGTGATTTAGGAGAGAATTCTTTTTATTTTGCAAGCTATTTTCACTTTTCCAGATTCTTAACTTGCATTTCTTAGGCGGTACTTCATGAAAAGAGCCACTTGCCATTTCTCACTTACAGAATTGGTATGTTGTCTGATTTATATCAGAAGGTTTCTCATCTCTTCTACCCTAATCATTAAGTCCTAGGTTAACGCATTGCCCTTTTTTCCTTCCAAAAATGGGCGTATAAAAATGTTCCTAGAACTTTTACAAGCATTGAGGACGGTAACTGCTATGATGAAATAAGGGCTTGCCTGTAGTTATATAGATTTCAGATGAAATGTATTCAATATACTCTCCTTTCTCCCCCCTCCCCTCGCCCGTTGGCACATGGGGAATGTTTCCTTGTAGACTTGGCACCTTATTTTGTTTCTGAGCCACTGTCTGCCGTCCAGAAACTTGGTGGACCCATAGTCCTACGTTGTTCTGCTAAACCTGTGACCGCTCATATCTCGTGGTTGCATAATGGAAAACGATTGGATAGAAACATGGAACAGATCGAGATTCATCAGGGGACTTTGACTATCCTGTCTCTTAACCCCTCCCTTTCGGGTTCCTACCAGTGCATCGCCAACAACAGCATCGGAGCCATTGTCAGCAGCCCTGCGACAGTTGCCACTGCTGGTGAGTTGAACTTGGTCTCTGGTGTCTGTGCTTTTTGCCAGGGTTACTGCTAGTGCTTGCACTGTCAGCAGAGGGAAGGGCGTGGGCTCTGGAGTAAACACATAGGCGTTCTCAGCCCAGCCTGGACTCTTGCTGCGTGTTTAACTTGGGGAAGATGTACTTGAACCTCTGTGAGCCTAGCCTCGTGTCTTCATCTATAACGGGGGCACGGAAGCAACTTTTCCATGGTTAGGAACGTTTTCTAGTGCGAATTCTGAATTCCTTTGGGAATATTTAAAAGTCCTTAATTTCGGGGCACCTGGGTGGCTCAGTCGTTAAGCGTCTGCCTTCGGCTCAGGTCATGATCCCGGGGTCCTGGGATCGAGCCCCGCATCCGGCTCCCTGCTCAGCGGGAAGCCTGCTTCTCCCTCTCCCGCTCCCCCTGCTTGTGTTCC